TATCTCGCAGAAGTATAACACTTCCGCGCCGGTCTTCTGTGAGGGCGTGGCACTTACCCGGACGGACCTGCCCATTCGTGCAACATTGAAGACAACAGTCTTCAATCTTCAAGGGGCACGTAACAACGTGTCCCTTCCAAAGCAAAAGATGCTTCTAAGGCAATTGGGTTATAGCTAACCATAATAATTGGTTTCAATAACAGTTACAGCACTAATGCTGTAACTGTTATTGAAACACACCGCAACTTCTACGGCTGAACGGATGAGCGAACTCATTTGAGAAACAACCTTGACTTAAAGAAGCCTGATGTGGAGAGAAATTATTCTTACTTTGGTGATTGTAGACTGCTTTTGTAGATTTACAACATACTCTACATGGCTTCTTGTTATACCGTTATTTAAAAATAAATAAATTAGTATGAATCTTTGTGAATTTATTAAAAACGAAATGTTATCATTATAATTATCTTCTTTGCTATTACATCATTGACTTTGAAAAGTTTTCGTATTATAGGTACCAGTATAATTATCTTTATAGAACAATTTTGTTGTACCTTTGATCGTTGTTAAATCCAGTAGGGTACCTACTACAGATAAAGTATACAGGTGTGGAGTTGCTTATACATGATTATATTAATTTTTATGTTATTTCTAAATTTGATTACATATGTTCATAATTCAATACATCATGATTTTATACATTGACGTCAAAAAATTGTTGAAGGCTTCTTAATCACCTAACTTATCCCTGATTAGTAGTAATATCGCCTAACTTCCTAACCCCGATTAATAATATTAACGTTTTTATAAGTTGGTATTAAGGGGATGAACAAAGAATTAGTCGCTCTCGGTAACTTATGCTCAAGAATAATTCGAGCGGTGCCGCGCCTGTAATATAAGGCCATAGCGGGCCACCTTTCTGGACCATACCGCAGCTCAACGATACATGACGCATGTTCATTTATTTCTCACTACTTGTCATCCAAACTAACGTTTTCCATACCAGAATAATCGAAACCGTTCTTTGTTTCAATCGCCTTTTAGATTGTGAAAGAATTCGGTCTAACCGAGCTGTGCTGCTCGATAGTGTGGCTTAGCCTTTAGCTTCTTAAAAACTAAGAAAATAAACCTGCATTATACTCAGTATAAGTGGATAGAGGAAAGTTTGACTTTTTTAAAAACCCTTTTTCGTTCAGTCTATTTGCACCGAAGCCTGATGAGCCTGTCAACATTAGTAGACAAATGCTTCGAGTATTCTTCTATTTGAGTATTGAACAGAAGTAACTTAACAGAGGTAACTTCTTGGCTAAACACGCGTCATTTATTCGTTTAAGTACCGTACAATTGACTTAAATCAACAATATTCATAAATGTTCCCAACATTTTAACAAATTATCCCTGATGATGGAGATGAGAGTATGACAGATCGTAATGGTAAGTTCGCAAACATACACAATAGGTAAATAATTTCTTGATCAAGCCAGCAATAGTAATCAAAACAAGTTTTTTTTTCATGTAGGAATGGAAAGCGAGCCGGCATTTCACATGATAACTTTCGGCTATGGACATTTGCAATATCAGCAGGGTGGCAGATGGCAGCCCTGTCACCTTTCAAATTATAAACTTATTTCAAATTATAATAATCACCTTTTAAAATATTTTTTAATTAATTTCAATAAACTGGGGCCCCCCGTTACTTCGTTACTTCACACAGAAGACTCACGCAGAAGCATAACACTTTTACTTCCAGTTATTTACACCATAAGTGATCCAAGTGGCAACAAGAGAGTGATCTTATAAGGGTTCGTTCTTTACCTTAAAAGGTACGGAACCCCAAAACCCGCAATCGGAAGGCGGGAATTTCAAGCGGGTCGAAACCGTCCCAAGCGAACATCAAGGACAGAAGGATTAAGAATGAAGAGAAGCGAGTAAATAGAAGCTCAGTTATCTCCAGTCGCGTCATTACTTCGCTAACGCGCATCGCGCTTAGCTCGTGTGACGCAGGCTCAAAGCCGCCGCCGCACCGGGTGAGACGGACCCATTGTGGGGGCAGTAACATGTACAGCCCACCATTCATCTCGCGGTGCCGACGTCTGAAAAGGAGCGGCTAGTGCCCGTAGTAATCCCTACTCTCGTACTGCACTTTGGCTAAAAACAACGCTGATTAGCGGTTACAAGCGATCGCAGTCAACCGCCGAGTCTTTAACAAGAACAACTCAAATTAAACGAAAGTAAAAGTTACAATGGTCACTCATTTTAATAGGACGGAATAACTGAAAGAAAGCCGAATGCGGTTATGGTACAAGTTCTTGGCTATAATTCTGGATGACAGCACTTTGAAGAATCAATGGCTCCGTGATATTTTCGTATCGATAGTTCGTCGATTCTTTATATCTAATGAAAGCCTTTTCGAGATGAACGCGATCTTAATCTACTCTAATTGGCTCAACAAATCATTCTTTATGATATAATATTCCGTTAACTTCCGTCTTAATAGTTTAATTCTTTTAATTCTTCGCTAATAGTTTAATTCGTAATATCCGACAAGCGTTAAAATGCTTAGTCTACTCTTTATATGTTAATTGTAAGTACTCTAATATTTCATTAAACTCAGAAATCTTTGCCTCCACGTGCATAACAACACAGTAAAATTCAGTTTTATAAATAAAGATAAACGTACAATACTTCACCGTTAAACATCGAAATGAGTACATACGTGATACGTATCGATTGTTAGGTGTAGAGGGCGTAAATCCAGTGAGGGCAGTTCCCATGAGCTTTTGCCCGAGGCGTATCGCTTCGTGAGCGGCCGACCGCTCTGGAACCGACGTCTGGTCGTATTACTAATGCCTCGTGCTATGCAGCAATAGGCTGGCTTTCGCAATTATGTTTGAATAAAAAAAATCAAATTTATCGGTCGATTTGCGTTCTAGAACACTGGCGAATTCTGGAATGCGAAGATGTTCTAGAACGTTCGAGTTCTAGAGCACTGGCGAATTCTAGAATGCGAAGATATTCTAGAACGTTAGAGTCCTAGAACACTGGAAGGTATAAGAACGCTAAATGTTATATCGTCATTAGTGATTGTGACATTATAATCCGGCCAATTAAATACATTGCTTAACATCTAATTTTCTCAGTTCAGTCAGATAATTATTTATTCATAATGCATTGCATAATAATAGTCGAAAGTTAACGTGTCAAAGAATGTTACGTTTGTTCAAACTTTGGCACTGCTGCGATCTCATCAATCTTTTCTACGATTCGTTCTATACATGTAGGCTTTCGAAAGGTTTTATTTGTATTCACTTATATAGTTAATGTATTTACATCCAATAATAAAATCACGGAGCAAGCGCCGAATCATCCCGGCGATTTCTTTAAACTTGCATCTTTGCGGTTATTACGGCCGAACGAGAGGGGCCCATCGAGTCTTTTAACGTCCCTTATCTCCAAAGCGCCAGTTTCCAGATTACTTCATAAAAATATCGATAAAAACACCGAGAGGATGACGCAATAAAAAGGACCGTTTCGGCGCGCGGCAGGCATCGCGACGATTGGTTGCAATAAAACAACAGAATAACAATGCAAATAAAGATATGCGCAGGGGCACCTTGTTTATACGGGCTCTGCAGGGCACCTCACGCTTGAAACTTTATTGCTAGACGATCGCTACGCTAAGACGTCCACCTCAAAAAACACCACCAAACTAGACTCTATTATCGTGCACTAAGACCTACGTATCGTTCGTGTTATCCCGTCTAATTGAATTAAGGTGTTTACTAAGTATCGTCGAATTGCTCTTAAATAACCATCTGCAGCTGATACCGCTCGCCCTGCTCGTTTTGCGCCAACGATCTTGCATTACGTCATAACTTGCGAATAACGACTGCTAATGATAATGAAACAGTTGCAAAACGCAATCCTCAAGCATTTATTTCGTACATTCGCGGTCGTTTGAGGTTATAACGCAAATTAATGACACTACTCCCCATTTGTTCAAATGCGAATGGTCAAATTAAACGATACGGCGGCCAGTATTCATATATTTTAGTGTTTTGATTCAGTAATAAAGTAAGACGTAAATGCAAATGAAGTATTAACAAGAAATACAACAGGCTTGCTACGTTACAAATCGACGGCAATAATGATTTTACTGTCAAATTATTTACTTTATTTATATCATTTTGAATAAAACATTAATGAGGCAGCAAAGGAATAACAATTAATGTTGTATTATTTTAAGGTACTGTTATATTGTTATAACTGACCTACTAATATGATATAAAATAAGGGTTATCTCTCATCCGTTTAGTTTATTTTTGTAAGGTATATAATACATTTAAGCAAACTATTTAAACTAAAAGAACTTTAAGAAAAACTTAGAAAAAAATTCTTTTAAACTTTAAGAAACGCTCATTTCGGATTGACAAACAGAAGATAATATACCTCTTCAATTTATTTAATTTCATTACTTCTTACATCAACAAGTTTCTCTCCTGATTCTCTTCACTTTCTGACAGTATTGTGAATTACACAAAAGCCTGCCTACCATGGATGTTATGTTAAGTTTTCGTATTTTATTATAAAAAATGCCTATTTAGCCTTTAAAATACTTTCTTTTTTAATGGAAAAAGGAGGCAAATGAGCAAGCGCGTTAACTGATAACGCTAGCTTAATTTTCTCATCGAATAATAGTTACACTTAACTTTTGAGTGAGAAAGAACAACAAAGCGGCGTAACAATGTGTCAAGAAAATAATTATTTAAAAGTATTTATCTTTTTATTTTATATAGTCCACACTAAGAGAACGAGAGAGAACTTTTATTTCAAAAAATGTAACTTACGCAATTCGAGGACAACCTAAATGTAGTACTAGTAGGAAAGTTTGGCATATCCACTATTTACGTCACAAATAGTCCACACTAAAAGTCTCATATTTACGCCATATATTTCAGCCGAACTTTTATTTGAAAATAGTAAAATTACGCAACTTAGGGATGACCATGATGATGAGGATGGTAGTAGAAAAGTCTATTTATTGTAGGTAAACAAGGCATTACTTACCGTAGTAGAAAAATTTTGAATCAACACATTATGTTACGATATTACCGATTATATACAAACAAACAAACTCTCCTTTTTCACAACGTTAACATTGTTAATACACATATTTTATGCATACAATACATAAAGACATATTTTTCATTCAAATTAAGCCATTTAATTGTCTCGTAAAACTGCTGGAAGGTAGAAGTTGAAGTATTTTTAATCACACTACCAATTTCGGAGCCTCGATTTAGTCATCATTAGTGGACACTTCACTTTCTCTTCTTGGAGCTGGCGCCATACGACAGAGAACTAGAAACAATCAATCAGCTTCTAACTTTGAATCACGCAATCGAATGCTTCGCATTGCTTACTAAACATATAAAATATTACGACCAATTTCTAATAAGAAAGTGGAAGCAATAAATAATTTTTCATTGAGGAAAACTAAACCACAGAGTTCGGCAGAAGTATATTACTAATTAAATTTTGCAGTATTTTGTATTTTGTATCGTATTAAATTCCGAGTAAGTTATGGAGGAGTAAACATTACTTATACTTTTTGATTCTTGATTTAAACTGGAAGTAAGTTTATTAAACATTCCTATTTAGTTGGAATACCTAAACGAAACATGCCTTGAAGTTTTATTTTGCCCTGAACATCTGAATGCGTAGGATCGAGTCGAATGTAACTTAATGCAATAACTGTGATGTACTCACGCTATCTGTTACATATCTCGGATGCCTCTTACCGTGAATGGTCCAATGTAGGACTTCGGTTGCACGGTTTTATCGTGGCATCGGGAACAAAGTTCGTACAAGCGATTCGCCGCCCGACTTACCTAATCTATGTCGGCCGCCGCGGCGCAATCTGAAATGCCTGACACCGTGTGTGGGTGTGCTTCGTTTAACTTAAGAGCGCCGGTCCATCAGGCGCGAGGGTGACAGCGCTACGTGGCGGGAGCGGGACAGGAGAACACGGAGCCCGTGGGAAATGCACAGTAGTGGTCAGATCAGACTGCGCGCGCGCCGGCCCAGTGCACGTATTATTGTAGTCGCATCTCGGCGATTTATCGGGGCCTATGCAATGCGTGCTCGACGCCGAATCGCGACCTTCGACCCGCTGCGTAGAGTTGATTTCGCCCTGCCGTCGAGCGGCGCTTGTGGCGTTCCCACTCCACGCGACGTAGGTACGCGGCGAGCATAATGCGATGGGTTTTTTTAGCGATCGATTGAGTCGGTTTCTGCGCCGGGCCCCGGTCGGGATGCAAATGTGGTATTTACGGAGTTCGCCGGCACACGCCTAGTCGGTATCGTAAAAACTCTTCATGATTTAATAAGCATGTTATTGCTTTGGCCCGCATATTGTTCGGCCCAGCCGACCGGTACGCGTTCAAATTAACTCTCGCAACGTAGTTTTTCGAATGACGAGGACAGGGATGTAACATTGACGTATGATTGTCTCTTGAGACAATCGTATCACATTGTATAGAAGTATATAGTAGTACTAATGTATGGGACAAGCCCAGGGCAATGTGCACATGTTGATATTAAGAGTTTTGTACAGCGGATGGATAGCAAATATCTGCATCTCCTCTTTTTCAAAAGGAATAGCGTTGTTTATATTTGCAATCTCTTAATTTAATTTTTATTTTGTACTTATTTAATTACTTAATACTTACTTCCTATTACTACTACGCACATATCGCGTGGTATAAATAATAGCATTTCGTTGTAACCTAAAATTTAAAGAGGAAAGTTTGTTTTATGTAGATTCTTTCGTTGCACATCGCTGTCCGATGAGACTCAAACACGAAAGGCTCGACCAGGTCCGTAACAATAGCCTATAATTCGTCACGCCTCACCTTCCTTCGACACTTTCAATTAAAGAAAATATCAACCAAATACTCGTATGTATACTCAATCCCGCAAGCTCCGCCCATATTTGATTTGATAATGCTCAATCTCTGCAGACGCCCGCCACCATCCGAGGCGTGAAGATGTCTCTTTATTATTTAAATTTTTTTAGTTGCCAATAACGCAGGAGTAAATTATTGAACGATTTTTCGTTAAAATTTTTCGTTGGGAGCTACAGGAGTAGGTACCCAGAAACTCAAAAGTAAAACATGGACTAATACCTAATTTTTTATTATTATTTTAATAAAAACGGTACATTTAGTTGATTGAGGCTGCGATGATGTCATGACTGAATTAAAGCAAAGTTTTAATGTGATTTGAAAATTTCCCACCAATCGCAGGGCCTTAGTTCCAACCCACCGTAGCAACAAAACCAAAATTTGTGAATTAAAATTTTGTTTTTATGTTTGCATGCGTTAAGAACTGTCTCATACTTAACGTTAAACAAATCCTAATGTTTTTGAGGTTAAATGCCATTTATGTTTACAAGAGATATTTTTTAATTCTTTACTAAAATATTATCATATAAGTCTGTTATATGCCTTCATTCCCGATCCAATATCGCGACCCAATTACCAGACAAACATATCTGGTTCTAGTTGTATTGCCAACCTTAAAAATATTGACCCACAATGCATTACTCACCAGAATAAATTTAAATTATAGATACATCAATTTACGCCAATCTTTCCCGTGGCCAACTCATTCATGTAAATGCAAACGTATTTGAAGTAGGTACAATGAAATTGCGTCCAGGCTCCGGTATTTTATTGTTAAGTACAAGTGTTGGAACATAGAGTCTAAGAATCCGCGAGAGCAGTAACATCGATAAGTTTGATGATGATGAGATGATTGTGAGCGGAAGGGGCTCCATATACCTTGAACATACCGTGAGAACTATTCAATGAAAATTAAAAAAAATAAGTCGCCGATCTTCCCTCGTAGATATGCCGAAAACGAGACTTCTTTACAAAATAATTCAGACTGACAGTCTGGAGAAGAAGATTACTTTGAGCCAATTGGATGGTAGAATTACTAAAGTCTGTCCTGTGACTATGAACGCTGGAAAGGGTTCGAAACGTCGGGAATTAAAAAATCTAATTAAACGCGATAAAATCCGTAAAATAGCTTCATTTAACGATGTATAACATTCGCGTAAAAATACTGAAACCAATAGAATCGCTCGGGGTAAGGCAAGAGGGTTTGGTACAGCTAAGAAGGCGGTAGACGATTTGCACCGTGCGGCCGAGATCCTTAGCAATGAACGACCAAGGACGAAGAAGTCATTTATTTATTTAAAATTTTTGGTACAAGGCGGACTTAATGTCAAAGGCATTTTCCGTCAGTGATCGTAGTGGATGGTCCAGAGAGGCAATTCAAAACAATATATTATATACAGCCCCTTATAGCTCTTTAAGAAAACTTCTAACACATTTAAAATTAATTTAGGCCGATGATTGATTCAATATTTCGTGAATTAAAAACTAAATTAAACGCCACACAACGAGTACATTTAAAAATCACAATTTCGCAGATTACAGATCGACGCATAATTAAGCATGGCTACAAGTTTAAAGAAGAAAATTTTTATGTAAAGCCTTTATATAATATCATCCCTACTCAACATCTAATGGGACACACGCCGCGTCCTGTATAGGCTATCCCGAACGACGAATGGGACAATAGTTGTCGAAGCAACAGCGGGCTGGCCGTATCTCTTACATATCTTAATTAGGCCTCACAAGGCGCTCATCGACTCCTTTTTTTAACATCCGCTCGCCTTCGGGCGTGACGAATATCTCTATTGATCTACAAACTCAATTTCTTATAAACCTCATTAGGCTTTGCGAGCAACCCTTAAAGCTGACAATCGTCCGATTGAAACGCAAACGCTTCTGCGATGGAGAATATAGCGATAATTAGACCGTCGATAAAATCACTTATATCTTTCTATCTATGTGTTCAATATGAGTGACTATGACTATCCTATTAAAAACATGTATAATTTGTTTTATTATCGCTCTAGATAGCAAACTACCTCTAACCTCGACCATAATTGAATAACTAATTGTGGAAAGGCATTGGTAATCTTTTAGATAACAGTCTATTTGAATATTACTTAAAATCGAACTTCTCAATGTTTAGCAATATTTTAGGTGTAATTTCTTCTAAATGATTAACTCTAATATAAATGTTTAATCTTTCTTATTCTTCCGCATCCGCGGGGTTCCGCATCCGGTTTAGACACGATATTTGTATTGCAAAAGCAAGCGATACGGGCTGTCTATGGCCTGGGTCCACGTGAGTCCCTTCGGCATATTTAAAAAAAAATAAACATCTTAACGCTCCCGTCGCTATACATACTTGAGAACATCATGTATGTACGAAATAACTTACACCATTTTACAAAAAAACATACCACATCGCGTCGGGGCCGTGGTGACACGTTGGAAATACCGAGGTTTAGACTAGCTAAAACCAGGAAATCGTTTCTTGGTAGATGTATTAACTTATATAATAGAATAGGTGACATCCACAAACAATTAAGTTTAAATAATTTCAAACATTTTGTAAAAGCCACCTTAATGGAAAGGGCTTATTATACTGTCGAGGAATACATTGAAGACAAGGATGTGTGGAAATGACTTGCTCTGCACTTGCAAGTCCCCTGGCTCCTGCTAAATTATACTAAAATAATTTTGTGTGTATACTTAAATACTTGAAAAAAAAAAAATAGAAATAAAATATACATATATGACCGCAGAGTTTCTTGCCGGTTCTTCTCTTACAGGTCTAGTTTAGTGAACCGGTGGTAGTTTTTGACGTTCAATAAGAGCTTAAAATAAGCCTATGTTGAATAAAGAAATTTTGACTTTGACTTTGATTCTGAATGCTGTTTATGTTTGCATCATAAAAAACCGAAGAGTGAAATTACGAATTCCGTCTTTCCGAATTAAAAAGTGCAAATTTCGAATGACGCAATTATTTACAATTTCTTCGAAAACTCTCCTATATAATTTATTCGTCTGTTCAAATTTATTTAATATCGAATCCCAAATTGATACAGATTACCAATAACTTTGGATTAACACTTAACGAACATAAACAGTTTCCCACCGATTTTAAATTGCAACATCGCGCAGTGAGGAACCTCTTTCAAAACTACTATGAAACGATAATCACCACTAAGGCTAAAATTCCTCATTCATTGCCCGTTCCGTATTTAAAATCGAAGTCGTAGATTTACTGGATCACCAATGAACATGTAGCAATATTGATCTACACTTTTCCCGATAGGTGGCGTGGTACGGAGATGACTAATTCACATCCATCTAAAACGCGTGCGCAACGTGTCTCCTGTCAAACAAAGCCTCGAGGAAACTCTATTCCGTGTAATTAGGGTAGGATATTTCAGACTGAACGGTCTGATATGTGATCAACCCTCAAATCGCAATTTCTTCGCCTCAAACTGTTTTTACACACATTAAGTTATTATTTTGTAATAAGCAGTATTACGAATGAATTGAAAACAGTAGTAAACTCGAATTTTTAAACTAACGTGCATGAGTTTTCTCAACTAGAACATTATTTTTTACTAACGACCCACTTCAAATATCTCGCTCTGTATTCATTTTATGGTTGATTTTCAGGAGACTCCTGTGTATCTTCGGATCCCAAGATCCAATACCACATGGGAAGCACCAGCTTTCAAATAAAAAAAGAATCATCAAAATCGATTCACTCAGTCAAAAGTTCTGAGGTAACAAACATAAAAAAAATACAGCCGAATTGAGAACCTCCTTCTTTTGAAGTCGGTTAAAAATGCTGCAGAATTACTACAGGATCAAACTTGGTTCCTATGCCTCATAGGAACCCTGATTGGGTATTACATTGCCATGAGAAAAGAAAGAAGCGTGCATTATGTTTTAAATAACTAATAACTTTTTAACTGTTACAGAACCACACAACAGATTCTGATGTTGCGGGATTGGATGTTGCTGACAAGTACCACGGCCTCATAGAAGACCTGGTTGAAGCGTTACAATTTCGCGTTTCGTCTAGTGAATAAAGTGACCGGGGTACCACTTTTTAACAAAGTGAGCTCCGGATGACGATAAAGGTGTTGTCGATGCAATCACTAAACATCACTCAGCATCTACAACTCCTCAGATATTGTCTTAAATAATTGATAATTACCTGATTACATACACAACACCTGCTTGCTGCCTTTTCGTTTGCTAATTTTTCATATTAAATACAATAATTAAAAAACAATATCGTTTCGGA